AAGAGGTATGTATTCTATCTTGTTATATTGATAATATTGTATGCTAGATTAGGATAATACCTTGGATGTTCATATTTGCATGTATAATAGAGAAAACATAGATCCAAGGTATTTAGGGTTGCATGTACACTTAGGAGTGTTAGAATGCTCATAACCCAACAATAATTCCTTCTATTTCGTGTTGATATGATAGATTTCATGATTTTAGGGTTTTTATCTCCCCTTTTTATGAGATATAGGAAGTATGAGGTCTCCCTTGTGTTGGTGATATTAGATCTGGGCCTTGAGAGGTCCATAGAGTCACTACCCTATACCTTTTTGCAAGCAAGTAAGCAATTGGAGACTAGGTTGCCATTTCTAGAGTTATTTCTCCATTTGAGGCTTGATATGGGTTGCATGCACGTAAAGGTTGCACCTTTACGTGACTTTTGAGTGTTAGAAGGATGGATCTACTATTTGGTGAAGCAGATCTAGCGTCAAGAGATCTTTTGAGAGTTTTCATGGGAGAAACTCGCCGAGCCCATAAGGGACTCGGCGAGTCGAGTCGGGTTTCCTCGAGACTCGCGACCTGTGATGACCTGGGGAGTATAGGGTTGACTCAGCGAGTCAGGAGAGGACCAAGGACAAAGAGGACATACATGTACTCGCAGAGTCACCCTAGTGCACTCGGCAAGTCCGGTCAATACTAACTGTTGACTTTGTTGACTATTAGGGTTTAGTCAGTGGTTGGATTTATGAGTCACTAAAGGCGTAAGATGGTCTTTTACCCTTCTTAGAGGATTTATAGAGAGAGGCTGGCCTAGCCTTTAGAAGTTATATTAATTAGAGTAACTATTTTGTGAATAGGCGAAGGCTAGTGTAGTATTTCAGAGTTCGAGGTTTACCGAGTTATCCGAGGTGAGTCTTCTCATTGTACTTTACCTAAAGTGGTAATTAGAGTATGTGACAAAGTATTTGTATGTTTTTGCATGATGTGATTTCTATGTGCTTTATGCTATGTATGTTACAAAGTTTACAGAGTTAGGATCGTAGGTTTCACAGAGTTAGGGCCAGAGGGCCCACAAAGTTATGGGACTGGAGGGTCCCACTAAGGCACATTGACCAGAGGGTCAAACAGAGTTATAACCTCGAGTGGCTAATATGTGTTGTGTGTGGTATTTTGGGGAACTCACTAAGCATTTATGCTTACAGTGTTGTGTTATGTGTTTCAGGTACCAGTGAGGATCGTGGGAAGGCGCCGGCTTGATCAGTACACACATGAGGAGTTTTTACATTTTGATCTTGGGATGTGATGTTATGTTTTGACTATGTGATACAATGGTGTTTTTATAACAATTATGAATGAAATTGTGTTTTATAAAATGTGAAAAAATATTTTAAAATTTTGGGTGTTACAACTAAAAATAAAATAAAAATACAATACGATAATATTTATTATCTTTAAAAAATAATAAATTTAAAAGTAATAATTCAATAAATTAACAATTCAAAAAAACAAAAAAGAAATTACAAAAATTAATAATCCAATAATGTATTATTTATTATAATATAAATATTATATATTAAAAATAATATTTATTGATATATAATAATTTAATAAAAAATAATTGCTCCAGCAAAAAAAAATTATAAAAAGCATCAACTAAAAGAAAATAACAATTCAAAAAAAATAATGTTTTGTTATATATAATAATCCCATAATATAATATTTATTATGATATAAATATTATATATTAAAAACTATATGCACTGATTTATAATAATTCAATAAAAAAAATTACTTCGACAAAAAAAAAAATAGAATTAACTAAAATAAATCAATAATCCAAAAAAAACAATATTTAGTATATGAATAAAATAATAAATTAAAAGTAATAATCCAATGAAAAATAATAAAAAAAAGGAATTACAAAAACTAACTAAAATAAATTAATAATCTAATAATATAATATTTATTATGATATAAATATTATTTATTAAAAACTATATGTATTGATATATAATAATTCAATAAAAAAGAATTACTCCAACAAAAAAAAATTAAACGAAATCAACTAAAATAAATTAATAATCCAATAAAAGAATATTTATTAGTATATAATATTATATATTAAAAATAATATCTATTAATATATAATAATTCAATAAAATAAAAAAGAATGTATGCAAAAATGGTCCTTATAGTATGGTAAAAGATAAAACTGCGAAAATGGTCCCTGGGGGTAAAATTGTCATTTTAAGGAAGTTAACAGCCAACTAACGGATGAGGGACCAAAACCACAACAAAACTTGTTGAAAATGATCATATCTGCAACTTTTCAAACGTTTAGACCGTAACCACATAAAATGAGAAACCACAGGGACCATTTTTGTAGTTTTATCTTTAAATTATCAGGAACATTGCTTAATCTCCAAGCTACAAATTTAGCCTTCATTTCATCACATGGTCCTTTTTATCTACAAACTACAAATTTATAACAATTAAGTATATCCTTAAAAACATGTACAAAAGTACATGATATATCCCTTAATATATATATATATATATATATATATATATATATATATATATATATATATATATATATATATATATAATTTAGGACATATCATGCATAAAATTGATTACCATGACCACTAGGATCATTTGACTCAATCAATATTTTCATGATACGAATTTAATAATAATTGTTAGATAGTTAATTGCATGATAATTTTATTAGTTGTCTTAATTATTATAATGTTAGTTAATCAGACAAAGATAACTTACTAGTATATGTATCATTGAATATTACTAATATCCACTGTACTCTATTGGAATCACCCATAACTAAAAAGGCATAATCAACTCTATATGAAAACGTTCTTATCTATCTTATCTCTAAATCTAATCTCTAGTTTAGTTTAACTAAATTTAAACAAAATCTCCATTTACTTTACCATTTATAGTTTAATTAACAACTGAGTTTTCTGATCTAAACCATACTCGTTCCCTTTGTGTTCGACACATGGTCTACCTTAACTATACTGCTACATGATTAAGCACACTGCCTAGTGTGTGTTACATTTTAGGTGTAATAAAAGTTTTATAAATTTAAAACTTTGATCATAGTTATATATATATATATATATATATAATTAACCACACATCAATACATCACCTAAGGGAAAATTTATCACATCGTCTATGCTAATTATGAACGTTACTTCCATAGCGTCCATGAGAGCCTTCTTCAATCTCATCAGGAACCAGGTACAAGAGTCGATATAGTTGTCACGCCCAGACAAAACGTTATAGAAAGGGTATGGTTCTTTCCGATGTTTTAAAAAACGGTTTTTTAGTTGAACCGGTCCGGTGAAGTTTTCCGATTTAACCGGTTCAACCGGATGGTTAAACCGGTTCTATATTTTTATATGTTTTTAATTATCTTGCATACATTGGTTACAAAACCGTCATCTTTTTAGTATTACAAACGTAAATAGAATTCCACATATAAAAACAATCATTATAGAAGTCAAAATCAAACAAAGAAGCCCAAACCAAACACAAAAATCAAAGAATGTCCGGTTCAACCCGGTCAATTCCGGTTCAATTCAGGCGGTTGAACCAGTTTTTTACCAAAAACGGTCGGTTTAATCCGTTCAGGAAATCATTATAAAACCGATCTAAATTGAACCGTCATCACCTCCGGTTCTCGGTTCGATCGGCCGGTTTGAACCGGTTTTTAAAACACTGGTTCTTTCTGTCCATAACAATTGCTATGAAGATTGAGCGTATGAGTCCACTCATAGAAGGACACTACCTATAAAGATGACATGTAGCATGCAAAACGATGAATGTATAAATCTATATTTTTTACCCAAATTAAACGAATAATTGTAATAAAATGAATGTATTTAAATAAACAATTAGAATATGGAAACAAAAATTTAGGCTTAGCACATATCTAAGAGCCAAAAACAATGTTGAAAACAATCTGTAACATAACATTTGTTATGATGTTGGTGTAAGTATGCAGTTGGTTCTTCTAGGATTATGTAAGTAAACATATAAGATGACAAAGTTTTCTTCATAAACCCATTTTGAAACTATTATAAAACACAATTACGAATATGTGGTTGTGAGTGAAAGAACACAAGATGGAATATACTACATATGTAAGGGGAAAAACTAATATTCAGTGTCCGGAATGAATGCTTGGAATGTACAATTCACACACATATGAATGTACAATGGCTTAGGAATACAAATACATAGTCCAAAATGTGAGTCTAACATGTACGGTCTTGACTATAGTTGTTCGAAATTCATTGCGTCAGTTTGGAATGTACGACGATAGATTCTGGAAACAATCTCTACCAATATCCGTCAACTAGTGAATAAGTTAAGAGTAAATTACACGAATGGTCCCTATGGTTTGGGATAATTTGCATGTTTGGTCCCTAACTTATTTTTTTAACTCGAAAGGTCCCTACTGTTTGTTATTACTACACATTTGGTCCCTATTGTTTGTTTCTGTTACGCGTTTGGTCCCTATCTTACGTAAAAAGATAATTATTTAAATAGAGAAAAATGATAGTGTAGGTAAGGTAAGGAGAGAGGATGAGATTGAGGGTGTGTTTATTTAAGTAAATTAAAAAATCAAGGTAAAAATAGACTTTTTATGTAAGATAAGGACCAAGCGTGTAACAAAAACAAACAGTAGGGACCTTCCGAGTTAGAAAAATAAGTTAGGAACCAAACGCGCAAGTTACCCTAAACCATAAGGATCATTCGTGTAATTTACCCATAAGTTAACTACTCCAAATGGCCTGATTCTGAATTTGATGGTCTTATTTCCAAATTTTTACAAATTTTTTTTTTATTAAAACATCTATATTTTTATTGGTTAGTTTAATGAATTTTTTCTTGATAATATCATAATATTTCAATGAATTTTTTCTTGATAATATTTCAAATCGAACGGCATTTAATTAGTTGCTTTAACTAGTTTAATCAAGTTGGACCAAAATGACCATCGGTCAGACCTTGAAATCACCAGTTAAAGACTCGGGTGGAGTCGGTTTCATTTGCAGAAAGAACACAAACACAACAAAATCTAATCTTACATCACTTCCGGCGAATTCTGCTGCGTGGAGCGTACAAAACTCCCAACTACTAGATCGACTTCTCTTTTTCTCACTCCGCTCCGATTCCGTTCAACCCCTGCCGCCGGTAGTTTCTTCAACTCCAGTCTCCACTCTCTTCTATTCTTCGTCCTTTCCGTCACGCTGGATTTTATATAGAGACTGAGTAAACCCCCAATCGTTGACGGCAACAGGGTTTCCGAAACCCATTACCCCTCTATCTATCTAATCCACGTTCAATCCTCCCTCTTTCTAAAAGCAGTTTAAAAAAATTCACCCACATTCACTCACTGCCTGTATCAGGATTTGCGACGGCGATGTGGCGGACGGCTAGGGTTTTTTCTTGAGGTTTGTTATGGAATAGGACTGGAATTTTTGAAAATATAAGATGATAATTCCGTGTATAAATTCGTTTTAGATCTGAATCATTGTATAAAAGCCATGTTACCATTCCTCATTTCGCTGCAATTTTCAATGAGTTTTCCACGAGACTCCATTTGCGTCGATTTCGCCTTTTACTGATTAGCAACATTATCACCAACAATATAAGAAAGTTCCACGTCTTCTAATACCAAACCGTTTCTTTGGTCTAGGAAAATTTCGAAACTGCATATTCAAGTACGCCATGCCTGCCATGAAGAAGGTCGAACTGTGAATTTTTTTGTGTAATTAGATTATCTCTATGTGTTTTTGCTGTAACAGCAGTTATAGACGATAGTATACTGATTTGACTCTTTTGCTTTTGTTGATTGGTTAATCATTACAGAAGACTGAACCTGGTGATATGAGGCAATTGTTTGAAAGACTGACGAAGGAGATTGGAGAACCTGTCGAATTTGAACTTCCTGATTGGTTGAATAAATGGAAACCTACCTATACCATCATAAAGCGCAGTATCCTTTTCAAGTGTTGTGATTAATATCATTATATCAATGTGTCTGAATGATTATACATTTTATGTTCATACTTCTGCTTTCTTTTAATCAAGATTTAACATATATATAAGATATATATCTAACTAAGAAGGTTAAGAAACGAGTAAGAGTGGAAGATGATGGAATATTCTGCTCTTGCACCTCAACACCAGGTTCTTCTGCTGCTTGTGGTAGAGATTGCCACTGTGGGTAAGAACTAAGAACCAATGAGTATTTCATAAACACGATTTTTTTTTTTTTTTTTTTTTTTTTTCAATTTATATTCTGTTATATGTTGCAGGATGCTATTGTCAAGCTGTTCATCAAACTGTAAATGTGATGATTCATGCCTCAATAAACCATTCCACAGACGACCTATGAAGAAGATGAAGATAGTGCAGGTATTACTGAACAACAAAGTTATGTGTTTTGCTGATGTCATTGTTATCAATTTATTAAGTTAATGTGCTTTCTTAGACTGAAAAATGTGGGTCAGGGGTTGTTGCTGAGGAAAATATCATGCAAGGAGAGTTTATTATTGAATATGTGGGAGAAGGTAACGTCTTTGAGTTAAAAGTATGTTTCTACCTTCTATTTTTCAGTGTATAGGTTGTTTTCTCAAATATTTTTTTTAATGATATGGGCTATTTTCTTTTTACCCAAAAAAAATGCAGTTATTGATGACAAAACATGTGAAGAAAGGCTATGGAGAATGAAGAGACAAGGAGAAACAAACTTTTATTTGTGCGAGATTAATCGTGACATGGTGATTGATGCTACATTCAAAGGAAACCAATCAAGATATATAAATCATAGTTGTTCTCCAAATACCGAAATGCAAAAATGGTCTTTTTTTTTTTACTTTTTAGTTTTCCTTATTTTTTAATCTTAATTTCATCATCATTAATAAATTTTTAACAAAAAACCATTTCTCCAGGATGATTGATGGTGAAACAAGAATCGGGATTTTTGCAACTCGGGATATAAAGAGAGGGGAACAATTGACCTATGATTACCAGTATGATGATTTTATTAAATATATATATTTTTTAAACATTATTTATCCAGACAATTAATGGAATAAAAATTATCAGGTTTGTGCAGTTTGGTGCAGATCAAGATTGTCATTGTGGTGCAAAAGGGTGTAGACTGAAACTGGGAGTCAAACCTAATAAGTCAAAGTTTACTTCTTCAGATGCTGCTTTAAAGATTGTTGCATGTCAGGTGGCTATAAATTCTCCAAAAGTAAAAGCAGTTCTTTATGGGAAAGATGTATGTATGTCTTTTCTTTATATATATATATATATATATATATATATATATATATATATATATATATATATATATATATATATATATATATATATATATATATAAAGATCCAACAATATGTGTTATGGTTTTCTAATCATTTAAAAAACTAATTTGAGCTTTTTGTTTGTTCTAAAGGCTTACAAGAATGGTGTTGGACAACAAGGTACAAAGTGTTGTATATATATAATTCACCATGTAGTTATTTTTGTATTTTGTTTAATTTGTATGAAAGATTCTTGAATTCCAATTTCCTATTTTTGTGTTTATAGCATATTCGAGAAATGCCATTGATGAAATAAGAATACCTCATAATTGCATAGGGGAAGTTGTCAGAATAGTACGCCCTGCTTCAGAGAGGTATAAAATATATTTACTATTATGAAATTCCCAGTATTAGACTGTATTGCGTTTGGCATGTATTGGACTGAACTTTTTAGTCCCATCCAAAAGGAGTACTTTCTTGTCTGTTTAAAAGACGTGAATACCCTTTTTGTTAGTAAAAGGAGTTTTTTAAAGATCTGTGTGTTGTTTTTTTAGGACTTTTGGTATGATCAAGCGGTTTGACATCAATACAAGAAAACACTTGGTAATACGTTTTTTTTTTTTTTTTTTGCATATAATTTGTGGTTGTTTTTTGATGATTGACAAATGCGGTTATGTTTTCACATAGATCATGTTTGAAGATGGTGTGACTGAGCTTCTTGATTTGGCGCAAGTTGATTGGGAGCTTTGTAACTTAGCAAGTTTTTTACAGGGGTAAAACCGTAAAAATTTATGGTCAAACCCGCAGTGAGTTTTTTTTTTAGGGTGCAAATTCTTTATTAAGAGGTGTTGCTGAATGTAAAAAAACCTTGGGTCTATCCTCCTCGTTTATGTTGTTTGTTGTTTATTAGTGATTTTTTGAACTCTTGAACACCAGAAACCGTTTAATTCTTTGTAAATTTGATTGTTTTTGGTTAGCCTAACCTTGGTTTTATGATTTTTTAATTTCTGATGTTAGTTTTATTAATCGTGTTACAAGGTTGAAGTGAAGAGTGTGTTGTGTTTGCTTTTTTGCATTAAGCTATATGAATAGAATAAAACACTTAGGTTGTTTCTTGCATAACAAAAGATGTTGTATATTTGGTTTAGTTGGCACGAAGATTTTTTTTGTTTTAGACCCAACTTGTGTTGTAAGACATGATATATCCTACAAGAGACATAATACATTTGAAACCTATCATCAATTTTAATACATTTGGATTCTGGACATGAACAAATAAGCTTTGTATAAAATTTAGTTGCATATTTTTTAGTATTGCCTCTAATAGATTTTGTTAAGTTGATTTAAAATTACAAATATCATACATGATGGAATATCTAGAACTACATAAAAAAATGTTAGCGATAGTCCAATGTATTCCATGTTTTGACACTTCCACTCTCGTAAATATCATTATCTAGTATTTATGTTTGAATTTAAAGTTATAAACGAATAGGAGACAACTACATTTGCTACCTCCTTTTTAGATTTGTCGTTATCTATACTTCTAAAAAGACGATTAAAAGTCTTTATTATATACTCTTTTCAAAAAATTTAAACCCCATAAAAGATTATACAACTTTGTACAATCTTCTTGCAAACCCTTGTACTTTGCTGAATAGTCAAATTTGTCATGTTATGAAAGTTAGATTTTATTTTCAACAAACGTTTTTTTTGGTAAATCTAACTAACAGTTGTCATCAGTTAGCAAGTAGTTTTAAGTTGTGGCTTTTACTTGTTACAATGAAAACTTTTGAAATATATAAAATTATATAAAAAGATAATTGTTTAAAAAATATATATTAATATATATTTAAAGACAATTCTGAAAATTAATTAAAAGGGTTTAATAAATTTTATTAAACTACTACTTAAGTAAAACAAAGGTAATGCTGTAATTTGCCGTTAATTTCTTGATTTTTTTTCTTTATTCAATAACGGGTCGGGTTGACCAATCCAAAATAAAATATTCGTTTTAAAGATTGAGTAGCCGACTAACCGGGTCGGGTTTTTGAAAATGGGGCTGAAGTTATTGTTTCGAAAATAGAGGGCTCTGAGAGTTCTGATTCGCACTTTCACTTCTCACTTGCAAAACCGAAGGGTTAGAAGAAATGGCATGGAGGCAAACGCCATTGTTGAATCGAAACATACTCTCGCTGCTTTCATCCAATTCAAATACTTTTATTGCTAGGTTTTCTTCCAAAGCAAATCCCTACCATGGTAAACAGATTCATACACTTACACATACAAATTAGGGTTTTATTTTATGTTGATTATGATGAGCAGTTTATCGTGGTTACAGTAAAAGTTGGTATACCGGAGTTCCTAAATGGAATCGGGAATGGAGTAGAGACTTATGTAGAAAAGCTCGAATCTGAATTCGGGGATTTACAAAATCTCCTGGTTGCTCGTTCTTTGAAGCTGAAGAAACTCAATGTTGGAGGCGATCCAAAAGTTTGCAAACACGTAAGTAAATCTACTTGCAATCTTATGATTTGGAATCTCTTCAATTTCATTATATTAATTGGAATGAGGTAACTGCTTCTTTCATGGCGTTGAGTCTGTGTATGCTCTTACATTTTGATTTAAAAGTGACATAAAGCCATTCCAAGCTCAGCCACCCATGGTGTTTTTTAGTTATCAGTAGGGTCCAACTCCAATAGGCATTCATAAGCTTGGAGGAATCCATATTTCTTGACCCTATTGCCTCCATTAATCTAAGACTGATGTTATTTATCTTTCTGTATTTGATGCAACAGAGGAAGCTGATATTAAAGTATGCCCATAAGTACAGGTTGGGACTTTGGAAGCCTCGAGTTGAACCTCCAAAATCCAATAAATGAGACATCCTAAAACATTGTCCTTGATGAAACTTAGAAAAGCTCCATTAGAGATTAATTCAGACATTAAACTTATCCTGTGTTTATTTTCTTTGCATCCTTCATTCAGAAGGTTTTTGAAATTTATAAAGCAGCAGGCTTTGCAATTATTACTTGAATATTGTGGTGGAATTATACAAAGGCATAACGTAACTTAAAAAAATCAAAATACTACATTCAAAATCTATATTAACTGATGTGATATGGATATATATATTTGATGCACATATACATATTAAAATAGCCTTGAAGCTATTGAGTAGAAAGATAGTAAACTTGTGATATTTGTAATTGAATTGTTTTAATATGCCTTGAATTATTAGAATGTCAAGAGGGTGGAAAGTGGAGTTTTGAGGAGTAAATGGTGGTTTTTGCTAAAACTCAAAGTATGTTGCCATTTCTTTTTTGAAAAATCTTAATTTGAAGAAAGGTAAAAATAGGGCATACATTGCGAAATAGTAATGTATTTTGTGTGCCGATCAAAAAAATAATAATGTATTTTGTGTTTTTACTATTAAAAGACAATATACTTAAAATTTTACTGAAAAGTATGGAAGCTTTAACCACTTTATATGTTTATATGTGGTGGCATTAGATTAAGGTTTGAATGAAGTAAACCATCCTATAGGTACTCTCTAATAGTCGACACCAATGTCACATATAGTTGATGAAAAAAAAATGTTGTTTTTTTTTTATTTCCAACTTCCATAACATCTAGATAATTTATTATATGGATTTATGCTCATAATAATTTTTTTTAACATCTATTCTGACTTGTATGGCAATGATGAGTAGAGTTAATGTGATTTTTCTGACTTTATGGCAACTATAATTAGAGTTAATGTGATTTGTGTATATATAATAGTTTATACTCTAGTTTGAAGAAAAAGTGAATAATAACGAAACAATACAACACACATACTCTTTAGACAACAAACAATAACATTATGATCATGGGTTGAAAGTTTTTGAACACCATGAAAGAGACATGATAATTTCCGTAGTGGAATTGTCCAAGGTATATTTCAAGCGTTTTCTTTGGTTTGGTAGTCTTTAAGAACCGTACCAACTGTTATATCCTGAGAGAGATGGGTGTTTACTATTATGAGCGAAATTTGTTTTATGAAAAACATGTCTTCACCTGCCTTGGTCAAACTTGTTATCGACATGGTTTTCCATGTTTTGGTTGTTTGATTTGGGTCAGTTTATGTCAAATGTTAATATATTCTCTAACATATTTTGTCAATCTTGAATGACAACAATGTTTATGTCCAAAAACAATGTCTTAAAACCCCAATAATTTGACACATAAAACATCCAAAATTTAAAGAACTCAAAACATAGAAATCGTAAAATTAAAAATAATGTTATGCTTAAATTAAAAATTACATCAAAACCTAAAATTTATAAATCCTTATACTTATCTTTCATCTTGTGTTGGAGCTTGTTAAAAAGTTCGAGTTGATCTAGTGGAAGATCCAAATGAGGTGGCATGTTTATCATTTTCAAATCCTTGATTGTGGTTTTGTACTTTTTTTTTTTTTTTTGAAGAAAGTCAAGACGATCATCAAGTTTTTTTTGAAAGCATTTGACCGGAATTTGGTTCTGGTATAAGGATTTTTTTTCCCTTTGTCCCTTCTCGATGAAGATGTTGCTTTTCTCACTTTGTCCCTTTCCACTGGGCATCAAAGGGTGACCTTTTCCAGCTCGTTGTTATCATCATCATCATCTTCATTCAGGTCAATTCCAAAACCTGCTTTTGATTTCGAAGTTCTTCCTCGTTTGTTGGAACCGGTGGATTGTGTTTGCGAGTGACTAAGCACACTTGGATCAATTACCCATTTTGGACCGGTTAACATAACACTCTAAGCTTTTTGATGACTAAATGATTGAGGTAGTTTTGTTGAAACTTGTACAACTACTTCTTAACTCGTGCCATTTTCTGTTGACACTATCGTAAGTCCGATATTCACCTTTAAAAATGCAAAAATTTTTAAAATAATATAATTAACAAATAAACGATATTTTTATAGTTTTTAAACAAATGATTTTTTATGAAGTATGTTATATTGTATCTTTTCCCATTTGTGTATGGAAGTGTGCTAGAAAACGGTTTCAAAATGTCATCCCAGTTTGGGCGTTCATCGATTGATATTGCAATCCAAGCTTTTGTTAGTGCCGCTTCCTCATTTTCATCCCATTTGTTTTGACCTTTTGTTTTCCTTTGTCCCTTCGTTGCCTTCTTGATGAGTGTGGTTGAGTTTCCAACACCGTTGCGACATCATCTTGAGGATATTGGGGTTGGGAAGGCAGTTGTGAAATTGGTGGTTGTGAAGGTTGAGTTTGAAGTTGTTGAAATTGTGATTGTTGGATTTGGTTTCGTGTTTGGTAAAGCTTTGGTTGTTGGAAGTAGTTTTGTTGATATGGTTGTTGGAAAATGGGTGATTATGGAATTGATGAGTTTGTTCGGAGAAGAATATTCATAAAACCTCCCGATGATGATTTGAAATCCAGATATTGGCAAGGTGTTGTGTAGAGTGCGAATGTGCCGGCACGTAAAGTGGGTGTGTGGGGTTTTTGAATTTTGATCCATTTTTGGGATTGTAATATAGAGAGAAAGAAGTGAAAGTATTATGTGTTGTAGCGTGGAAGTTTTATTGGTATTTATGGATTTAACTAGGTGTGGGATCCATGTATTATAAAAAAAAATTAATATGAAATTTTAACATTTTGAAAAGTTTGAATTTATAAAAAAAAATGATAAATTTTTTGAATTATTAAAATTAATGAGGTTTTAATGTATTGTATACATTATATATATAAACATTTTCTAATAAATACCTTACATATATATTACCTTAAATATTAAATATGAATTTTAATTTAATAAAATGAAAAACACAATAAAATTACAAGTGAAAAATAGAAAATTTAAAAATTCTAGATAATGTCATATATATACAAATGAAGGAGAAGATAACATGTTGCAAAAAGTTTTTTATTTATTAGGTAGGATTTATAAGGTTTAAAAAAAATTGTTTAAAATAATAACTTTGAAAATGTCATATGACTATTTATCTTTCTTTCTCATTTGTATCGCATCGTAGCCCA